CAAGATCAAGACAGCAGTGCTGATCATGGGTCAAACAACAGCTACGTCACAGTTTTTCAGCATTGGGGCTGGCAAAGCAGGAGCCAAGCAAGTGGATTGTTTACAAAGCAGTGCTTCCTAGAGCATGGTCAGAGGTAATACAAATGTGCCAAGTCCAGAATCCATATTCAAGTTGCCTGGGTGCAAGCTTTTGTATTTTAAACGTGCACACACAATTGATCTGATGGAGGAGGGGACTGGCATCGCAAATCACCTGTATTCAGTCTCTGGCTGAATCTGTTTTAGTTCTCTTGTGGGTTCCACTGGATCAGTTTGTTTCTAGATTCTCCATATCTTCTATAATCTATGGTAGCTGTACTATAGTTTTGTCAACTGCATTCTTGCAGGAACAACCACTAAGAAACTTCCTATCAAACTTAATGCAGTATTCTAAAAATAATGTGATAACTTAATCCTTGCTAGTTCCCACCATAAAGAATTTATTATTTAGCCAAGTAACATTTATTATGTCTTTTAACCAGTCAGCAAGTCTCAACTTTGCTTTGGCATTTAATCATACACCAAAGCCATTTGATGCTTACTGTACTCTTGGCAGGGATCCACTAAGGCTGATACAGGCCTCCTGATCAAGCACTTCTCTATATTACATGCTGAAAATTTGCATTCAGTCCACTTGTATACAAACAACTGGATCTCAATTTCAGGCAAGTTCTCTTACCTAAGAGGTATCTAAAAAGAAATTACAACAATAAAATTGTGGTTGCCCCTTTTGCTGGATTGACATTAGCGATTCATAACCAGGATGTCTTGACATCCTTTCAGGGGTGACACTGGGTGCCACATAATGTTAGCACTGTTAGGAGTACAAATATGATTCATAAAATAAACCTAGAGATTTCAAATAGAATGTTTTAGACACCATGGATTCTTGACTGGTTGTGGTCTTCCCAAGTTCTTTGCAAAAGAACAAATAGTTCTATTATTTTTCTGTAGACAAAAATTAGGTGAAAACTAAGCTGGCATTTTCTGAGGGGTGCCACTATTGTAAGCACTGTTTATATACAAAGTGACTAAAAGTTTGCCCCCTCTGAAAATGCTTTTTTCCCCCCCTTTCTAAATATCAAAGGTATGAATTCCCTGATGTTGTTCAAACGTATGCAGAGGATTTAGAAGTGGACAAGAAACTGTTAAAGCAGTAAAAGCTTTTTACTAGCCTATCTAAAATAAAGAAATAAACAAACAACTTCTCATTTGTTCAGTTCTCACTTGAAAGGTTCCTCTGATGTCATAAACTAGCTATACAATCTTCCACAAAGCTTCCTGGAAAGACAGCAGAAAAGATCCAAGTGAAAAATAGTGGACTTAAGATTTTAGACCTTATAAATCAGTCCTATTTTTGTACCGTTGCAAGACACCTTTAAGACTTTCTCCTAGTCCAACAGAACATCTGTACTTCTAGTTTCAGGCCCTTCTAATTACTTTGAATAATTTAGCACTCCATTTATTAAAACCTCCTTAAGTACTTAGATAGCTAACATCTCTTTCCCAAGCTGTACACAGCTATCTATTTCCTTCAATCTCTCTTTGTAAGGCATGATCTTCTATTCCTGTTGACCTCCTTTGGATGGTTTATTAATGTCTCCTACATAGCTAGCTTACAGGTCTTGGGGAGGAGGGCAGAAGGAGAAAGACGAAAGTAATCCAGTTGTAGAGAGTCACAAGAGCTGTGTGAAAGTATTATTACCTCTCAGCGTTAGACGTGATGTACCCATCTGCCCAAGAATAGTATTTGGTTAAAAAAATAAAACAAAATAATAATCCACCTCCACGTAGCAGGTACATTGTTTAGTCGAAAGGTACTCTCTCACCCGGCTGTTCTCTGCTTTACTGCCTTTTAAACAGGAATAAAAAGTATAGCATTTGTACATATTATTCTTTACTTATTCACATAGTTGTCTATATTATTCATCTTATCGCAATAACTCTCCAGGACTCCATTTCACTATGTTTTTCAAACAGAACCTGGGTGGAGGTCATTTCTCTAAATCTTTTACAATTAGAAGTTAATAAAGCCTGCTGGGTCAGTGATATACAGAGCTGTCTACTGAGGAAGACAGCACTGGGGACCCAAAATAGACACTGTAGACTTGAAGAATAACATCTGCCCAGAAGTTTTATACCTGCAACAGCTTTCAGTGAAACTTAACCATCACATTGAAACTTAGAAGTCTGGCAGTATAGCTCCTTGTATAAATGTAGCTTACTCTGGCAAAAAATGCTTCCCACCCCCCCACCCCCAATACAGATTATACCAGGCCCCCAAACAAAATCAGCTATCCCAGCAAAAGCTGGTCGAACTACTCAAAAAAGCTGTTGTGTAGCTAAAGAACTGTTGCAAAAGATGACACAGCCCTAAGCAAAACTGCTATACCAGCAAAACTGTCTGTAAAACACACACCGTTTATTTTTAGTTTGTTTACTTTAACTGGGAAGGGGCAATTATTGATAATACTGAGCTCTAATGCATTGATAATGAAGGCATTAATAATTTCTCCAACATACAAATGTATTATCTTCTACAAAGGAAGTATTTGGCCTGTTTTCCTCACATATTTGGGTTCCTCTTGCTAAACAACCACATCTCCCACAAATGCTACAATTCTGTCACACAGAAGCTTTGATAACATCTTGCATATGGGGCCAATTTGAACTTTTTAAATTAAATAAAGTGACTTCCCTTATTTGACATAACCGGAATTACACCAGGATTACCCGGCAAAAATGCCCAGATCCATCAGTTATACCTGCGTTCTGACACTGGAAGTCTGGTTGCCTAAACAGAGGGAACAGAGAAAGAGAAAGAAATAATAAACTTTCCTTTGGCAGAAAACATCAAGTGTGCCCCTCAGCTGAAAGCATCCAAAGAGGAGCCACGCTAACAGACCACCTGTGGTTGTGCTGAGGAAGCAGCAGGACACTGGAAAAAAACAACACCGAGTCTCTCTCCTGCCTCTCCCCATCCTTCCCAGTTCATAGCAATTAGCATCACAGGATAGTAGGGCTGGAAGGGACCTCACAAGGTCATCTAGTCCAACCCCCTGTTCAAGGGGGTGATAAACCACCCCAGCCAACATCTGTCCAACCCACTATTTACAACTTCCAACGATAGAAACGCCACAACTTCTCTAGGCAACTTGTTCCAGTGCTCGACTGCCTTCATTGTCAGAAAGTTCCTCCCCATCTTCAACCTACATTTCCTCTGCTGCAGCTTGAGGCCATTGCTACCAGTCCTGTCCCCTACAGTCACAGAGAAGCGCCCACCACCACCCACACTATAAATTTCCTTTCGGGGATTTGAAGACCGATCAACAGCCCCCCTCCCCCTCCTTCAGACTAAATAACCCTAGCTCTTTCAGCCCTTCCTCATGAGTCATGCTCCCCAGGTCTCTAATCATCTTTGTTCTGAGCTGGACTCTTTCCAGCGGGTGCACATCCTTCTTGACGTGTGGGGCTCGAAACTGGACAACAACCCAGGTGAGGCCTCACCAGTGCTGAACAGGACAGAAGACTCATTTCCCTCGATGTGGAAATGACACTGCTGGGAACACAACCCAGAACATGCTGGGTCTTTTGCAACAAGAGCAGACTGCGGGCTCGCATTCAGCTCAGGCTGTACTGGACAGGTGCTTAACTTCTTGGCCCCATGGGCCCAATGAGTGACACGGGGCTGCCCATGCCTGACCAGGATCAGGATCTGCACCCCCCCGGTTCCCTCTGCCAGGATCACCCCACACCGCCCTGCGTGCCAGTGGTCCCCCGGCACCCCTCCGCAGTCCTGTCGCCTGGCCACGCACTGCCCAAGCCGTACTGGTACCTGTCGTTATTCTGTCCCGAGCGCAGGACTCTGCGCTTGTTCTTGCCGAATTACACCCAATTAATTTTGCAGTTCTCTCCAGGTCGCTCCGGATCCCAGGCCCAGCGGCTCTCGGGAGCACCCACAACTCCACTCAGCTTGGCGTCACCCAGAAGTCTGCCAAGCGTGCACCGAACCCCATCGCCCAAATCACTAACGAAGGCATCAAACACTAGTGACAGCAAGACAGACCCCTGGGAAGCCCCACGTGACACGTCCTCCCAACGAGACGCGACGCGACGCTGAGGCATTAGCGACAGCTCGCCGAGCACAACGATCCACCAACAACCGCGCCCCGCTGGCTCTCGGGGCCCGACCCCC